AAGTCATTAATTAATGTCATTAATTAAGTTCCGTTAAAAAAAATGGTCCACCCCTACCTCATAGTGTTCCTGAGATCGATGTTAGTGAACCGCTGTGTGAGATGTTGGTGAACAGATTATTGTGACTGCACATCCCTATCTATATCGTATTTATGGAATGTTCATTGAAGGGGCATCGGCAGACGTTTGGTTGTTCAGAGCCTTGCATGTTTTATTTTATATTTCAGATATAACCATAAAAAATAAAAGAATTTGACAAAACTCAATCGAGAATAGTCATGCAAAATACGGAACTAGGTGAAATACGATCGCCGGCATCTGTCTCAAACATACTTGTAGACAATGGCGAATTTCATCATCGTGAATCAGATCTGCTGCTAATAAATGAAGCAGAAGTAGCAATACAAGGTAACTTACTACAGTACTTATATTCTTTTATAGTAGTGGTAAACTGGATTAATTACAAGTCTCTTTAATTGCCAATAATATCATATATTCTCGTCTATAATGGTACCCAATAACTGTTCGACAGAAAAATTGCCGAAGATTCTTAGTGGTATAGCCGACAGTTTCAGATTCTGTGTTGAATGATGAAATTTTAATTGATTGGTGTTTTGCCATGCTTCTTAGAAATTAACAGCAAAGACTTGCAGATGATGCCTGCCTACATTCATCAGTGACAATTAAAATGCAGTTGCCTCCATATTATGTGTACGTTTATAAAAATTCAGCACTTTCTTGTAACTTGAAATTAGTCCTGTTGTTCATGTACTCATGGTGCAAAAAATAGGCCCCCGTTGTGTCATCGACATGTGTTATTTGAGCAACTCTGGCTGATGCAACTCGAGATCAAATTATTTTTTTTTATAGTGTATGCTTCGCAAATTACTGGCAAAGTAAAATCAATTTTAAGAAGAGAATCTTTCTGTTTTAGTATAGCTTCCTACAAAACTGACCATCCGCGTTCGTGTTGAATAGTTGTCTACTTAGAGTTCGAAAATAAAAAATGAACTACAAAACCACGTATAGGCACTTATCTGACCAAAAAGCTAAAGATCGATTTTAATAGGCCGTGTAATTACAGTTTCCTTCGCACTCTCAGCTGCCGCTGTGTGAGTTATTTTTGACGTGGTACCCTCAAATACTGCTGTTACCATGGCACCATGGCACCATCAGCTGCTGCCATTGTGCTCCTTTCCATAGAGACGCGACAGGATCACAATTATACCAGGAGTAGATGGCCCCAATAGATGATGATGGTGAATTGAAGTTTTAATTATCAAGGCAAATCACTTCAAGTACAATTGATAGCTAGTGTGACACGGAGTTTTGTTGAAACTTGAGCGAAAGCTGTAGAATCTCGACTAGAACATTGAAATAATTGCCACAAAAATAATCAGAAACTCAAATAAACTTAAGAGCTACCTTCATGAGGCGGCAACACAAAACCTATACTATCCCTCCGATGGTTTTAGCTTTTATGGGTATTCTAATAGAAAAGTGCGCGCTGAATTTTGTATATTTTTTTCGAGATGATTTCAAGATCTTAAGTTACATGTATATTCGAACTCGCAATAAGAGGGCCCCCTCCTTAGAAAAATCACTTTTTGAATAACAAATGCTCTGACTGATGGAATTAAAATGTTTACGAGTATTATGATTTTGCCATTGTTATCCATTGATGAAAATGAAAATTTTATTTTACCAAAAGATGCAGTACATTCTACTCTTTCTCCCTATATGTAATATGTTTAAAAAAAAGAACGCCAGTAAAAGTACAATAAAGCAAAATGGGAGATCAAAATTACGGAGCGCAGAAATCCACAAGCTTTTGAGAGTATCCAGTTCTTTCTCTCTTTTAAGATATTTCATTAATATAACATAAATAAACTGTAGTGAAGCTTTTTTATACGAGTTATATGTTCTTCAGAAGTAATTTGTATGTAGCGTCGTACTGCTCTTTGCCGGAAACACTTCAGGTTTTTTAATTTATCGAAAGAACGATGTGAATCATCGTATTCAGAAAATACAATAGTATGGAATAAAAATACGTAAATCATCCGAAAAAGAGAAGAACAAAACTATTCCAGCATAGCAGATCGGGTCAGATTACTGCATATGCTACGCGCTTTAAAAAAGTTCAATTAAATATATTGAAAATGTACTATTTTAATATGAGTTTTTTGGATTTAAATAAAAAAATCCATTTCTAAAACTTCTTTAGTGTTTTTTTTTCAGAATACTTCGAATAAAAAAAAATTGGATTTCCTCTCTCCTATCTTGAGCTATAATTAATACTATTTTTGTTTTAACGATCTCACTTGGAGTAAAATTTCGCCCGAACGGATTTTTTATACTTCGTTCCTGGGCTGAGAAAAGTGGGATTTACTATTGTTAGGCCACCATTTTTTATGCTAATTTTAAGACCATTGTACTAAAATACTCATAAAAAATGAACGAGAGGGAATTTAAGTCTTTTGTTGAGCTAAAAGTTGCGTGCTGACATTAACTTTAATTTGAAAGCACCCCGAACTATATACCTAGTGTTGCGACGAAGTTACATCAATTCTCCTGAAGACCAAAAATGACCGATGAATCAGCTTAAAATCCAGTCTAGTACGACCTATAGAGCTGACATTTTCATCGGAAACATATCTCACCATGATCACTCATCCCTGAAAATGTCAGTTCAAAAGGACCATTCTAAGTGAGAAATTGTTTTGGAGGCGGGATGGGGGACGCTTAAACATCTCATGCTATTTGACATATTTTTAATTAGAATTTAGTTTTATTCTTGTTGTAGGCTCGTTCGATAGTCTTTCTTTTTTACTATTCTATTCTGACCGCATAGCTGAGATGAAGCAAACAGAAAAAAACGAAACCTAAACTCTCGTGTTGTCAGGTTCTATGATAAGGAACATATAACAGATTTCTATATGTTTAGGATTAACTCCAGGTCTGTCTAGGGCGTCCGAATTACAACAACGCATGACAAAAGTATATTGATATAACTTAAAATAAGATGTAGTTGAATCATTTTTTTATCGCAGGTTATCAAAACATTAAAACTCAACATTAAAGATCACTCTAAGTAAGTTGTTCTTCCGTATCAACATAGAATTAGCTGTTTAGTTAACAACTGTGTATTACGGCCGGAGTAAACACAGTGATCTCTTCGATATTATTTTACAAATGACATGTATATATTTAGTGAAGCGGCTTATTTCGGTTTTTTGCAATTTACATATTCAAACAATGCCAATAAAAATGTCGATGATACTGAAGAAAACGACTGCTTATCATCGGTAAGTTATTCTGATGTTTGTACTGCGCCGTTCGTGCCCATATTTTAGCTATGAGTAAGGCTCACTGAGACTAACAAAACTCTGAAAAGTTTCGGATTCACAATATATCTAGATCAAGATATGATTGCTACATAAATGAAAGAAAATGGAATTTTTTTTCAGTTCGGCATTTCTTTTTACTGCAGGAAGCTGAGATCTCAAAATCTTTAATATAGTATTTTTATTTGAAATTACGAGCCTGACTCATATTCATTAAAACAAATTCAATCACTCTCTCGTCGCACAAAGTCCATTCAAATTTTTCGGTTATACTTTATTGTAGAAGGATAAAAAAATGAATAAAGGATACGTTTATCGCTTTACTTGAGAATCACTTTAGCTTCAATCATAGTATTTACTGTACTAACTGACTTGCGCGTTTTCTTATGTTTCGTTCCGAACATAATCCCAGTTTTTTTCTACTACATCTCTATTTTGAGAGTGAAATAGATTTCAGAGAAAATCTTTGTGAGTTCCGTCTCGTACATTTTTGTTTGTGATTAGAATAGTGTGATTTCAATTTTTCTGATAGAGAAAACAACGCAACAAGTTAGACACGATCCGGTAAGATTAGAGAAGATTTTATCAGATCTGATTAGATCTGACGTCTGTCGTTTTATTTTGGAGCTTTACCCTGTCTCTCACTAATAGGATTCTAGGGCGTTTTCATCTCTTAACTCTAATTTGACTTAGTAAAAGATGCTCAATCATTTCTTCATATTTCTTTTTCGTATTCTTATAATTTCGAACAGGAAGCCCTTGTGCACCTTTTCTTTTTATACTTGATAAAGAAACGTTTTTGAGCAAATCCGGTACCGAAACTAATGTCGAAACATACATGCTTGAGAAAAAATTAAAAAGCTTTGATAGCTTACAGAGACATGCATAGTTTTGTACGAGGTATTCGAAACCTACTGATGGTTATGCGTAAAAAAGATGAGCTCTTTAAATTGCCTGTGAAGCCAAGGATGGTTCTTATGCAGTAATATGAGTTTAACAAGATTTGAAAATTCCTAGCATTTTAGATCTATTAGCATCACAAGTGGAATGATAGTTTTCGATGAGAAAACGTCGTCATACAAGTAGAACGAGAGGATTTTTTGAAAATAGTGATTTAGTACGAAACTCTGGCAACATTGCGGTATAACTGTAAGGAATCTCTAACTTCACACCGAAGAAATAGAATCTTCATGTCCGCAAAACTTTTCGAGATCACAGTTCAGTGCAAATGATTTCAACTATGATTCGTCTAGAAAAATTAAACTTTTCGTTTATGATATTGTACGACTGTAGTAAAAAATCGATATGTATACACAAAAAGGGACAAAACAATGTTCTTTCATAAATCTAAGTAACTTTGAATGAAGCCAAATTTATTAATCCTGATATCAGAAATTTGATCACAGTCATTCAATAGAAGAGTATCCGCTAGAAACATATGATACTATACAAACGCTAAGTATTTAGAATTGGCAAATCGTCTGAAAAAACACTTTCACAGAACATTCACGCAAATAATTTTCAGATAATCTATACAAATGTACAATCTGCTTTAATCTTCTGCAGTTATGAACTAGTGACAGACAGTTCAAAGACCTACCCATGTTGCACAAACTGATGGAGAAATTCCGGTTAACCGGTGGTTTTCGATTGGTTTGCGCGATATGCTTGATAACATATTGCCAATGATACTTTATTTCACCAAATCCAAACCATTTTATAGCACATACCAAAGCTTTGAATTTGTTGCCTCCCTAATTCTTACATAATAATTTGAAATTTTATATTGTACTAATCATATTCAATGGAGGATCATGCATGCTGTTAGTGACCATGCGTTTTCATTTCGATCACTTTTTCGCCGAATATCGTTTCCATTAATTTATGTTTTTCATGCTGTTATTTGGTATGAGAAAAATCAGAAAAACGTGTATGTTCACTTTTATATTACATTCATGAACATTGTGACGAAATTCATTGAACTTTGTTAAATGGATATGACTCAGTCTCATAGAGTCAAATAAAAATGTTGTGTCAAAGATTTCAAATCTGAACCTCTTGAAGTAAAGAAAACCGCCGAAGTGAAAATGAAAAACTTTCTTTTCTTACGCGTATGTGGCAATGCTATTTCCGTTCATAGACATCATCGACCCGAACCTTTTTAGAGTTTTGTTAGTCTTATTGAGCCTCACTCATCGCCAAAATATGGACTCGAACGCCATTTGACCGTTGGATATGTCCCCTAAAGAATTACTTATCTTCATTGCTTGCAGTTGACATATTAACTTTCGTTGCGTAAAACAGCAGTTTCATCTTTCACTAGCCAGCTAGTATAAATTAAAATAATGAACATTAATATACGCCTGATGACAAAACAAAATGTTACTCATTGCCTAAGCTTATGCAAGCCGCCTTATTGTAGACAAAACTTAGAGAACTATTTCAATCAGAAAGAACGCTCATGTAGCTATAAATTGAGGAATTGTCATTGTATGGAAAGTTGCCTAGCTTCTTCGTAGTTTTTCTCCTTTTTCTAGAAAAATATTCAGACTCTATATATCTTCAGTTCGTTCATCTTGCTGCCAGTACAAGACCTTGGTCACTAGCAAAGCTCATCGAGGCGTATCAGCTTCGTGCTCCTGATTTCATTCTATCAATTCAGACGGGCAACGTTTATGACAATGATCCACATAAACAAAAATCTGGTATTCAAACCGAAACTGAACGTGCTATTCAACACGGTCTGACTGACACAGCAAGGATAACACGTAAATAGTTTGAGAAGTTTTACTATTTCTCATATTTATATGTTCGAACATTCAGATCCATGGGTTACGACAAGCTGCATTAATCAAGATGTGATCAAACTACTTGGAAACGCGTTGCATAGGGACATATGTGGAAGGGATGTTCCTTGCCTAGGTTTCTGTAGTTGGAACTATGTACCAGGTATCTCTATTATTAATACAATCGTAACTTACAATTCTCTGCATAATACTATATGTTATTCTTTAGGTGACCACCAGCCAGTAAAACAAAGCAGTACAACGTCAACATTTTGTGAAATGAGATATTCGGTAACTAATGTCAAATACGAGACCAAAATCTATGTTTCTACAGCTTTATTTTTTTTATAATTTTTTAGATGGACAATGAACATCCTCCTATTCATAAATACATGATGACACCAAGCGCGAACTGTGATAGTCTCAATTCACAAGGACAACTAGAACCGAGTCACACTCATTTTTTCTTCTTCGACGATGGATCGAAGGATGTGAAAAATATGTTATTGAAACGCCAGGAGGTCGAGCATGAACTTAGTATTAGCAAAGTATTGAGATCTCCTATATCTGGTTTTCAAGAAAAAAATGCTGGTCTGTGTTGCTAATACTAAAATGATATTTATCAACAATTCTAACTGCTAATATATTTTCTAGTATCTGACAGCGATATTCCCATTATTATGTTATTAATCGGTGGCGACTTCGCAACACTAGCCGCCACATGTAAAGGCTTGGCGGTGGGAACACCAGTCGTTGTTGTACGAGTACGTAGTTTCATGTCCAAAATCATTTTCTATAGAACTGAAATAAATGCATGATATAAAGAAGATAGCAACGAGAAAAACACACTGAAGACGAAATCACAGTTTTAATTTATCTTATTTCTTCTCATATTAGAACGGGGAATTATTATTATCCATTGCATGACTCTCGTCTAGCAGTGTACTTTGATGATTTATCTTGTTTATTGAGAGGAGTTCAAATCCCTCGTTACTTGTATTCACTAGAATTTACAGATCACTGTTGGTGTTTCCTTCCATTTTTGCTTCTAAAATACATCAAGAACGATCAGACGGAAGTTTTGTGTTAGAGATCGAATAAAGGATAAAAAAATAATTGGGATAGCTTTCGGCTCAAAATATTTTATATGACAAATATACAGATCTTAGCTAGTCTTTGCATTGATCGGCCATCGATGATATCAGTGTCATAATCCGCTAATACTTATTCACATTTTTATAGAATACAGGCGGTATCGCTGATATCGTCGCTCAACTTTGCCGAAAGTTATCCCCGACCGATGAACTGGCACAATTTCGAAAAAGCATATACATTGAAGAGTGCAAAAAGGAATTAAAAAAGCTTTGTCTTAAAGAAAACGACGCTAGAGAACAAAATGAAGAAATTGGAAAATATGTGGATGTTCTGAACGAAATGGAAGAACTAATTATTGTTTTCGATGCCATCGAATACAACGCTAAACTAGAAGATACTATTGCCGACGCAATCCTGACGGGTATAAAGTATCAAAACGAGAACTGGGGGCAATTTTTCGGTCAGAATACCAAAGCAGCGCTTTTATTATGGTGTGCGGTAAGATCACCTTTAATTCTAATAAAAAATGCATAATATTTTCTGGTAAAAATTTTCAGGTATGGGGCAAAGATGAATATGCACGAGAACTATTAACCGATCGTAAAGCCGAGACTGCGGCATCAGCAAACAATGCGGAACAAGACAAAAATCAGGTAGGAAAGATGTGAAGCGCGATGAAATCATTTCGAATTGATTTCCGTAGAAGTCCGAGTTTCAATGATATTCAGAATACTGGAAAAAAATTTCAACACTCAGAAAAAGTGAAGTTGAACAGGAGAGTCCTTCAGTTTGACAAACTTTAAGAAATCGATTGCGAAATAAAAGTTGCCTCTGACCTTTTTCTTTGATTGGTTAAAATTTCAGTGAAATTGCAACCTAAACAGAATCTTTCGGATCTTTTTGTGCGGACTGAAGGATAAAGAAGTGCTGACTACAAATGTTTTACCTTGCTATTAGTGCAACTTGAAAGAAATGAAACTTCGAATTTTCCAAAGCTGCCCAGTGTCTTCATTGAAATATGACTTCATATTACTAAATACCAGTCATACTTGTTTAATAAAGCAGATTACCAAAAGATGAAAGAATTATTACGAATAAAAAAATAAAGAAAAAAGTTGGTCTCATATGAGTGTAGTACAATGGCTACGTGCGGCTTACGACTGTTTAAATACAGTATTTCAAAAATTTACTCGTGATACTTAGAGTTGATCAAAAATTTTGATCATGGTGATTTCTCCTCTCTTTCTCACGTCGTGATGAACAAATTTTGGCCAACTCTAAGTATATTCTGACAGCCCTTGAAATTCTCTATCATTCAATGCATTTTTCTATTGTCTTTCATGTATCCATTGCCAAAATTACTTGAATATAATGAAGACACCCAATTGACAAGTATGCCTGCATCAAACTCAAATTATTTTTCAACACATAAATGCAAGGCAAGATAAGACTACATAGGATGATAGAGAATCTGAAGCTCTATCAGAACATTCTTAGGACTGATCAAAAGTTCTGATCACGGTGCGAGAGAAGAAGAAAATCACCGTGATTAGAACTTTTGGTTAACTTTAAGTATATCTTCACTGAAGATGTTTTTACTGCACTTTCTTTTCTAGGTAATTTCATTAGCGCAACAAATACTGTTCGAAGCTTTGCATCGAAATACCGTGCCATTCGTCAGTTTGCTAATGGAATACGGCGCGTCAATAGAAGAGTTGACAGAAGAACAACTCATTATTATTTGTATCAAAACTATGGTAAATCAACCTAGAAAGATATTTTTAATAAGTCATTTATGACTCGATTCATATTAATTTTCAAGAACGATGATGCCCTTGTTCTCAATAAGTCACACGTCAATTTCACCTCAGTCAAACGGGATGCTAAATTAAGTGAGCTTAAGAAATATGTAGAACAAAGATATAATGGCTATCTTCGGCAATATTTGAACCATTATGTAAGTATTCAGTACTGCTGAATGTATCAAATTTATATTGGCTGTATATTTTAGGTTACAAAGGAAAACGACAGAGAAAAGAAGCGAACAAAAGGACAACTTGTACGTGAGCCTATAGGAGAGCAAAAGGTCAGCGCGAGCTTCACCCCGTTGTCCAAGATATTCGACGGACGTAAGACCGAAGCACTTTACCTTTGGTTTGTATTCATGAATCAGCCTGCGATGGCTAAGTATCTTTGCTCCAGAAGTCGAGTAAGATATGCTTCATAGTCACTTGGAATACGATTCGATATTAATCTCTATTTCTATGTCATATGTTAACTTTCAGAATCAGACAGTTGCCAGTCTTCTTGCAGCTGAGATTTATGCCGCAGCAGCGAATACAGCCACGATAAACAAACAAAGTCTAAGAGCAATTTCAGAGTAAGCTATCGAATATTTGTGTATTTGATACAGAATCTTGCATGCTTGTTGGTTTATTTATCTATGAAAACAGAGAATTTGATCACCACTCGAGAGGCATCATAGACAAATGTCTAGCTAAAGATGATGATTTTGCTCTCAAGTTACTCGAATGCAAAGCCACTGCGTTCTATAAATGCTTCCCATTGGATGTAGCACAACGCGCGAACTGTCGAAATTTTCTCGCCAGTAACACAATACAAAAGCACCTCAAGACGATTTGGTACCATCATTTTGACTATCAACAACGGCTATTGAAAATCCGGACCTCTGTTTGGGTTTGTGAAAACTTTGAAAGATTTTCATAGAATATTTGAATGAATTCGACACTTTGTTTAGATCTTTCTTGCATCTTTGATTTTGCCCTGTATACCCATTGCATCGATGCTATTTCCTTCGCTGTATAAAAACAATTCTGGCAATTCGCAATCGGTATGAGTAACGCATATTCGGGACGAGGCATTTTGCATCTCAATCTCGATCCCTATTAAATCTTTCGTACTTAAAATATGTGTACTTTGGGGAGCAAACTCATCATCATTTAGAATAAAACTTGTCACAAAGATGATCGAGAGTCAGAAATTCAATTTTGATCATAGTTGCTATTAAAAGTACACAAAAGATAATTGAAGGTAGAGAACTTGAATTCAACCTAGGATCGGAGCCAACTAAATTTTTCTGGAGGAGTCGACATGATCAGTTTATCGATCTGTTGAAGTAAGTAGTTCAACCAGTAAAACTCGGCTGATCTCGTAGCAGATATGAAATTCTGGTTCTTTGACCAAAAAGGAATTTTTTTAGGAAGACTAATCCTTGCATTTCGTCGGAATCTTCGAAATCTATGCATTTCGCATTAATATGAGAACCAGGATTCAAGTTATGCACAATAGGCTCAGTAAGGCTTAGAAACGTAGCTCTAAACTTCACAATTGATCAGCATGCTCATAGACAATAATCATGGATGTCAACAGCTTTTTTATTAGTTAAAACTAAACCTTACAGCGAATCTATACAGATTGGGTATTGATGGTACTATATTTACGCTAAGTCAGATTAGAATCGATTGAATTGACAATAGCCACATATTACCCAACCCATTAAAAAATTCAGCTGGCCGAATCAGTATCGGTTTGCCGGCTTGGTTATGAATATGATCTGATCATTCCCGGTAAATAAAAACCTGGAAAAAAGTTAACTTTCTACGAAAGTCACGAAAAATTATTAAAACTGTAGTGAGTATTGAAGTTTAAAATACAATAGGAGACGATGGAAACAACACTTTATTTTGGAATTTTAATGATATCATGTGTTTTGTAGCTTTATCACAGAATAGTGCGTTTAAATTTCAATCCGAACCTGAATTCGTTCTTGTCATAGACTCTGTTATTTTGAAAATACTTTTGATTAAATACAGATTTATGATTTCCATTTCTTGTCTGTTTTATGGAGGTATCAAAATAAGTTCGAGTCGAGAGCTGGCTTTTCGTTGAACTCAATGATCATTGTGATTTTTTACCGTTCTAATGTAGTCTTTTCTTTTTTCATGTAAATTTTATGTTTTAGTCCATCAAAAGCTGCGATGACAAGTTTTTTTATCACAGTCATTGATTTACATGTCTTTTTACCATTTCTTTTGATATTACGAGCATCTCTTTTCTATCGTGTTTATACTATTAATATCATGTATTTCATTTCATATATATCTTCATTGTTAACTTAGCTATCCGTCGTAGATGCGATCTAACACCGTAATATCCATTCCACAGATCTATCCTGCGCGCAGCTGATCTATACTAAGCCATCTTTGCTGTAAAACAGTCAGTAGTGTCAAACTTGAAACTTGAATTCAGTTGAAAATAGACAATTTCAACTTTCAACTCATAGCGATATATGCGTGTCACGATTCTTCAAAATGCTATTGGCTTAAAAGGTGAGAATTGAAATTTTCAATTTTCAATTGAATTCAAGTTTGACATATATGAAAACAGTTAGAATAAGGTAGAATGATCTTGATTTTATTTAATTAATCAAATTCATGAAATAAAAACGATAAAACAGTTGTGGAAGCAATGCAATGGTTTCGATACTAATGAAGCTATCAAAATCATGCCGAAAAGTAAATAGTTTGGGGTTTCTAATTTTCCACATGAGTAAGAATAAAAACATTCGAATATGAGGATCATGTCGAATAAAACTTATTAAAGAGCAATTGAATATAGAAAATCTGAATTCAAAAATATTTTTCTCAGACTATTAGTTAGTAGCGCCTATTATTTCAAAGACAATCATAATACATTAATATAACACTAAAAACTTGTTTAATCATTCCTTAATTGAGAGAAAAGTCGTATGATGTGGTGGTAGCGGTTGCACTTCTTTCGATAACCTGCTTTTAAGTCTACAACATAGTGAAATGATCCTCGATCACTGCGAGTTATTCATTCTAAAGTTGTTAGTTTATTAGGGTAAATGCACATATGTTCAATTTCCAAAGGATAAACTTCCGACTAACCATTATCTGCTCTGTTGATTACGTTCTATTCAAAAAGATAGCCAGATCTCAATTCCTCATCCTTCGCTACTCTTTTTATTGATTGTTATTAAGAACAATGATGCAAATCAAATTATTCATTCTCTATTACCTTTGTCCAAGTTTCATTGAAACGATAGTATAATTTGGATTCTCTTTGATTTATTGCCCGTTTTCAAATTCTATTACGAACGTTGGTGAGTCTCACATACCCAAGAGTACATCTATTAAAGACGGCAGACTTAGTTGAGATTGATACTGGCCAATACTACGAGTCTAGATCTATGCATATACTTAGTATGAATCAAAGCACTCTGAGAATTTTTTTTCATCATCTGTTTCCTATGAAGGAACTTCAAGCATCGAATCCATACCGTCCAGTGGTGATCTATGCACCACCGTCGTCGCAGAAAGAGAATACGCCAAGTCGTTTTAACACTTCTAACATGTTCGATCGAATTAAATGGTTCTATGAAGCACCAGTGATACGCTTTTACTATAATTTAGTAAGCATTTTTTTTCACATTGTTACCTTCGCTACCTATCTGAATGCTGTGATCTTATTCGGTGTTTAGATATTCTTTGTTTCATTTCTGGCTCTATTCAGTCATGTTATTCTGGTGGATTATTTTCCATTAAACATTTACGGCGGAACTCGATCTGGGATTCAAAATTTGTGGATTCCAATCTCAGAAATTATATTGCACATTTGGATGTGGAGTTTGATTATAGATGAACTATACCAGGTCAGTTTTTTCTCTCGTCGTCTTCCGAATGTGCCATATATTTGTATATATCTAGTTTATATCACAAATTATGAGTGATTATAACTACAGCAGCAATGCTTGGAACTGGATGGATCAAGCAGGTATTCTTTTTTACTTGATGGCATTTTTCACCAGGTGGTTTGTTAAAGAATCATTCTTCGTTTGTTCAAAGTAAGCTTTTTCCTTATTCTAAACTAAGTAACATTCAATTGAAGGCTTATCATGTCAATTAAAAATCAAGAAAAACTTTACAATCGAGATTCGGAAAGATAATCAGTAACTGACTGCCGCAAACCACTTCATATGGAATACAAATGAACTTTTGCTATCAGAAAGACTGTTCTTTTGAAACAAAAATGTATAATTATGAGAGAAGAGAACCTATCAGTCTGACATTTCCTACTTTGCACTCAAATTTTATTCTTAGGTAGGAGTCATAGTGTAGATCAGAACTTGAGAAGAAAAGACTAGCGCCACGAACCCTAACAGGGTTTTACCTCTATTGATTATAAGTTCTACATATGAGGAAAGTAATAACTCAAACAAAGGATGCCAATCGCAGTGCTTACTCTTAAAATTCTACGGACCAGTTTTTCAAAAGGCATTAATAAATAGGAACATATTGAACATGGTATTTTCGATAGTTTTTATATATAGTCATAAAAATTTGAATTTTGCTGAACATGATCCGATCAAAGAACCTTTCGAGTTGGACGCATAAAATATTAACTATTATATTATATCCCCCTGGCCAAAAATAGTTGCCCACAGTATTTTTAGCAAATCCCTACTATAAATAAATATTTGAGAAAAATGATTATATATTCAGATAGCCCACGGAATTTTCTACAACTCTATATGTAAACAGTTTGAATTGCACTTATTTGCAAAAAGTAAATTCATACACAGTAAAGACACCCTCATGTCCATATTCCCCTGAGATGCATTTTTGCTCCTTTTTCGTGTATATTTTTCAGTCTATTTTGAATACGAGAGCAAGTTATTATAGAAATAAGTACACATTTTGAAAGCGCATGAAATTCTCTATCACCCCGTATTTCTATCAGTCTTGATTTGCAAGTATTCGATGGCAGATACTTTGAGTATTGTTAAAGCATCTTAATTGTGACGCTCCCACTCTCGATTACTTCACATGAACTCATACAGCAGCCCATGAATGATGATTCAATAGTCGAATAAGATTTATGGATAATTATCCACTTGTTATCCCTGATCTTAATGTTAGTAGGAATGGTTGATCTATTATGAACCATTTTGCACAGAAAAATGGCCTAAATTTTCAACAATATTCAACCTGGGACGTGATGTGTGAATGCATTAACAATATTCAAAGTATCTGCCATTGAATACTTGCAAATCAAGACTGATAGAAATACGGGGTGATAGAGAATTTCATGCGCTTTCAAAATGTGTACTNATAAAGATGCTTTAACAATACTCAAAGTATCTGCCATCGAATACTTGCAAATCAAGACTGATAGAAATACGGGGTGATAGAGAATTTCATGCGCTTTCAAAATGTGTACTTATTTCTATAATAACTTGCTCTCGTATTCAAAATAGACTGAAAAATATACACGAAAAAGGAGCAAAAATGCATCTCAGGGGAATATGGACATGAGGGTGTCTTTACTGTGTATGAATTTACTTTTTGCAAATAAGTGCAATTCAAACTGTTTACATATAGAGTTGTAGAAAATTCCGTGGGCTATCTGAATATATAATCATTTTTCTCAAATATTTATTTATAGTAGGGATTTGCTAAAAATACTGTGGGCAACTATTTTTGGCCAGGGGGATATAATATAATACTTTATGATTTCATATGATCTAACTATTCTTCCTTTTTATCTTTCGATGTTTGAATTTTTCATTCAGAAAAACAAAATGATATGCTTCGTTCGGGAATCAAACTCAAGACACAACATCTGGTTAACCGGATCAGTACTTTTACCATTGAGATACCGAAACATGATTAAGCATACCATTTTTGTTTTTCTGAATGAAAAATTCAAACATCGAAAGATAAAAAGGAAGAATAATTATATCATATGAAGCATGTATAACTCCTTCTAACATCTATTAATCAAGTTCTTTGTGATCTACAAATCCTGAGAGTTGTATGCTATTTGGAAATACTAGTGTATTTTGTGATTGAGATCACGTGGTATATCCCAATTAGATAGTCTTTAGATGCCATAATACCTTAACATTGCATGTTACGACTTAAAACTTAGGATACCCTGAAGAGTAAGTAATTACATCACTATCCAGATATGAAATGTTTGTCTTCTCGATTAACGATTGTTTTACTTAACTGAAACTGTCGATATTCTGACTAAAATATGAGATTAGTTTGTTAAACAATCTATTATTATGATCGCATGATATACGGTGGGATCACTTAATAGTGGGCAAAATATGGCGAGTGTTCGTGGAAAACAGATATTGAGTATGCCTGACCGACACATGTTTTTTATCTATCTTCTGGTTCGAGTCTACAACGCAATACCTTTGCGAATCCCAGCTGTGCAGTATTTTTACTTAAGGGATTCGAAAAGAATGTAGTACATAAGATACATTCGGATTTTCATCTAGAATATTTATGTCGATCGATTGTGTCATTTGGTATATTCGAATACTCTATCTGTTCGCTGCATCCAGAATACTGGGACCGAAACTAACCATGATCTACGAAATGGTGAGTTTACCATGTATCAGAATATCACACAGTTCGCTTGTGTTTCTTTGTCGTAGATGAAAGATGCCATCGTAATTTTCATATGCTTTATCCTTATTATTCTCTTCGGTTTTTCGGTTGCTTCTTGGTCTCTCTTGACAACTAAGGAGCAAGTCATTTGGCCCAATTCGACTAATGAGTCATTCTCCAATGCCACTGTAGTGGTTCAAGGTGCCGATGTATCGTCTAGTTGGCAATTATTGCGAGATGTGTTCAACTGGGGTATTTGGAAGGTGTTCGGACAAGTGGCCGAGCCATATAACGACGCTGTTAGTGGTACGGATGAAGTTATCCCTTTTACTGTTGTGGAGAAATACCATATCTATTCCTATTGTTTCAGAAAACGACGCCTATGGCACATTTGTTTTCTTATTTTCAATTGGCTTCACCGTGATATCCAATGTACTGCTTCTGAATGTGCTTATCGCGATGTTTAAGTGAGTGTAGAACAACAATAAATGTCATGTTTTCGAATGAGTTTCGTTCGTACTATGTAGTGAGAAAATTCAACGTGTGCAAGAAAAATCAAATGAACTATGGCGACATCAACGATTCTGGCTAATTTATGAAATTAAAGATAAGACAGTGCTGCCTCCACCACTCAACACTTTATGCTATCTAGGTCAATTTATAAAATATATTTATTGTCGTTGTAAACGTTTATGGAAATCACCCCCGCAAAGACAGCATACCAGTAAAAGCGAGGATGTCTTAGAAATTTTGATGGTTACTCTCCCATTTCTAGAGAAACCAACTGAACAAAATTCCTCGGCCGACATCGACATAATTTTATCTTCGGTCGACACCCGTCAAACAAACCGCGAAAAAGCCATCGCTGCATCGTACTGGGAACGCATATTTCAGGAAGAAAAACAGAATAAAACGTAAGTTGTTTTGAACAGTTTGGAGATAAAATATGAATTGAGCTGTGCTCCTGTATTCAATCAATTGTTGATTCATTTGTCATCGTAGATTGAACAAAGAAAATGATGGCATGGATAAAAGAATGCAGAACTACGATCATCAACAGTCATTTCATGAAACACTTCAAGTACAGTGCTCATACTTTTCTTAGTAAATGATCATACGATCGCAAGTATGAAAGTTCACATCAACCACATTACATGCCACTTTTCCCTTTTGAATATAATAGTAGGAAATATTCAGCTCCGAAACCTGTTTTTATCTAAGATACAACGAGTGCATTTTTGATTGGACAGGCTACACGTAAGCTTGCCACCGCTTGATTCAAATGGCATTACATTTTTAAAACATTTCCTAGAAGTACTAAATAGTTATTTAAAGGTTAATAAATGGGAGGGTGCGACGAAAATTCTCTGGTGATTCAACAGAATTCGATAAAATTGCCCAATTCATAGTTGAAATAAAGTACTATATGGTTTCCTATCGTTAAATACTCATCTTTACTCAACTATCCTAAGAACATGTACACTCTCTCACAAAAGATATTCAGTGCAGCCTCTTTGGTGCTAAAATCTGGAACTCACGCATATCTTTGAAGCCTCGATAAACTAATAAAAATGTATAAAATGAAGAATTTCGCAGACTACGGATTTTTTAAAATAATTGATCATCACAGTAAAATCTCTCTCATTTATTCTTACATTTTCAAAAGATTGTTGTATTTTGGTTGGCGTCCTTTTTGCTTTCGCATTTTTTCTTCATTTTTATTCTAATTAATAATTACCTTTTAATGTCTGTAATGGGGGGGGGGGGGGGGCAAAATTGGGCCCCCCCCCCCCCCCCCCCCCCCCCCCCCCCCCCCCCCCCCCCCCCCCCCCCCCCCCCCCCCCCCCCCCCCCCCGCCCCCCCCCCCCCCCCCCCCCAAATTCTGCCCCTTAAACTTACACTCACTATTTTCTTCAAAAATATACTTGAATTCCACAAAATAAGTTGTGACGAATTGTCACAAATCTCCAAACCTTTTTTCCGATTTCCTCTAATACGTTTTGAATGCACTCGAGAAAACCTGTAGTACGTCAAAGAACTATTATAATTGTAACCAAATCCCACAAAAATCAATGATAGGTTTTTCATTTTCGAAAAGACAGAGATTATCATTTTTCATAGGTTTTTCACTGACGTTCTATCAGCTTAATGAGCCAAATTCCCTCCTCAACACTTTGATTTATTTTAAATTGCTTTGGTCCCATGCATGAGTGCTATATTCCATTACGGCCATTTGATTTATGTCATCATAGAACACGCTTTTATTGTGGTTCTCTAAAAAATTACTTATTCACATTTCTCCACAGACTCAAAAACAGCTCGAACTGAGCGACAAGCAAATCGGTGACAAAGGGGCTCAGCAGCTCGCCGACATTATAAGAAAAACCACGGTAAATTATATTCTCTTTAATCTATCTCATTCTCAACTATCGCTCTCTTTCATAGACACTCACCCAACTAGACTTGTCCAAGAATCTCATTTCAGATCAAGGAGTTCAATATCTGACTGATGCTCTCCTAAATAATAAGGTTAATCTTATTCTTACTTCATCTCCGTTTCATATATCGAGACTTTCTCACCAGACTATTATCACACTCGACCTCGCAGCTAATAACATCAGAGCGCAAGGTGTACAGTATGTGGCTGACGTTTGCCGAAATAACAAGGTAGATGTGATGCTCACTTTGCCTGTCTCATGTCAATTTCCATTTTCTGATACAGATTCTGACCAATATCAACCTCTCAAACAATCAGATTGGAGACAACGGAGCTCAACATCTCGCAGATGTTATCCCGTACAACACAGTAATTCTCTTTTTCTCTTCATTAATTTCATGGATATATTTGTTTTTGGCGCAGACGCTCACAACACTCAAATTGGAAAACAATCAAATAGGAGACCATGGAGCCGAGAGTCTGGCAAATGCTTTACGACATGACACGGTGAACTTTATTTTCTTGTCATCTTCTTTGTTTACATATTTTCTCCTCTCGTAGACACTCACCACCATCAGTCTCGCAGTTAATAATATCGAAGCACAAGGAGTCCGGCATCTGGCTCAGGCTCTATCAAATAATACTGTAAACCTCTATCTCTCTTGTCAATTCTCATTCAAACATTTACTTTCAATAAAGACACTCACCGTGCTCAAGCTTTCGTCAAATAAAATTGGCGACCAAGGGGCTCATTATTTGGCTGATATCCTACGCAACAACACGGTGAGTCTCTTTCAATCAATATTTGTCTAGGTTACATCGTCGTATTCCCCCACAGACACTAACCACACTTGACCTCGCATCTAATAGAATTGGAAATCAAGGAACACAATATTTGGCTGATGCGCTCCGGAACGGCGCAGTGAACCTCTTTCTCTTCTTATCTTTCTCATTTACATGTTTTTTTTTTATATACAGACTCTCACCGCACTTAATCTCTCCAGCAATGAAATCGGATACGATGGGGTCGAACATCTAGCTGATGCTGTAAAAAATAGCAAGGTGAACTTCGCTTTCTCGTATTTTTGTCCACATGCAAGTGTACGATTTTCACAGATAATCACCACACTTGACATCGGAAGCAATGGGATCGGAGACGAAGGAGTTCAACATTTGATTAACGCTTTAAAAAACAACAAGGTGACTCTCTTTGTTTCATTAACTTATTTATATACGTGATCACTTTTTAAACAGACACTCACCACAATTAACCTCTCCAGTAATCAAATCGGTGTTACTACGACTAAAGATCTCGCCCAAACTATAGGCTATACCACGGTGAATCTCATTGTACAACTTTATCTCTTGTATACGCTTTAATTGTTAATTCAGACACTAACTCAACTCGACCTAAGCTACAATCAGTTAGAAGCCGACGGAATCCAAGAATTGGCTCCTACTTTACGACTTAATACAGTGAAATGATTTTCATTTTGTCTTCCTCATTGATGTACTCACTTTTTCATAGACACTGACCACGCTCATCCTATCGAGCAATCGAATAGGACATACTGGGGCTCAACATATTGCCTATGCTTTACGAACAAACAAGGTGTACCTTAATCATTTTTCATCGTTCCCATTTACATCCATATTTTTCATATAGGCAATTACCACACTCGATCTATCCAAGAACCGAATCGCCAATGCCGGAATGAAGCATGTGGCTGAAGCTTTACAAATTAACAACGTAAACCTTACTACCTCGATATCTCTTTTATATACATCTTCCTGTTCCCACGCAGACACTCATGATAATCGACCTCTCAAATAATCAAATCGGAGACACGGGGATTGAATATCTGGCAGATGCTTTTGAATATAACTCCGTAACTTCTATTTCTTCGTTTATATCATAAAATTCATTACTTTTGCACACAGACACTAAACAACATCAACCTTCGATTCAACAAAATCCGTGATCAAGGCGCCCACTTTTTGGCTTATGCTTTAATGAATTATATGGATGTGGTAAAATTCTTTCTCTATTTATATTATTCTTTGGCATGTTTGACTATGATAAAGGGAGTCACAAAGCTCTACCTTGGATACAACCGAATTGGGGACCGAGGTGCACATGATCTCGCTGATGTTTTACAATTTGATGCGGTGAGGACATTTACTATCTTAACGTTTTACGTCGCTATCTTCAACCTTTCTTTCAATCAGGCACTAACCAAATTAGAGATCACAGGTAATCCAATTACAACCAGTGCTGCCAAATATATGTCTCAGACTTTACGACATAAATTGGTGAACATCTTTTTATCTTTACATCTTTATATCTTTCGTTAATATCTTCATATTTCTATACAGACACTGAGCACCCACAACCTCACAGCCGAAGAGATCGGTACCGAATGGGTCAATTATGTGGATGATGCTTTACGAAATAACACAGTGAAAGATATTTTTCATTTATACTCTTGTTTTTCAACCCTAGTTCCGGCATAGACACTCATGGCACTCAATCTTGAAAATAAGGAGATAGGATACAAAGAAATTCGGGTTCTGTCTGTTGCCTTACGATATAATAAGGTGAATATTGCACGCATTAAAGTTCATTTAAACACATCCTCACTTTCTCGAACAGACGATCGCCATGCTCAACCTGAACTATAATCAAATAGGCATCAGAGGTACTCAATATCTCTCGGAAGTCCTACGAAATAAAACGGTGAATAAATTCTCCGACTCAAAACTCTTAATTTCTCCAGTTTGCTTTACAGACACTTACCAAACTCGAACTTAGAGACAATGAAATCCGTGCGGAAGGGGCCTTGTATTTAGCTGATATTATTAACAACAATACAGTGAATATCAATCTCTCGTTGTCTTCTTCGCTTTCATCCTCACCTTTTTGCTCAGACACTTGTTGAACTCGACTTGAATGACAACGATATCCGAGATCAAGGGCTCAAATATCTGGCTGGCGCATTCCGAAAAAGCAAGGTAAATCATTTTCTATCTTGTGGGTCTTTCCGTTTTACATCCTTAATATCTCGAATAGGCACTCACTACGCTTAGCCTTGCTGGTAACAAAATCGAAGACCAAGGAATGTACCATTTAGCTAATGCTTTTCAAAATACCACGGTGAGTTAATCTTAATGCTCTGCATATCTCTTGATTCCATTCAGACTCTCGTAGACACTTACTGCACTAGATCTCGGACGCAACAAAATCGGAAACTTAGGGATTAAATATTTAGCAGATGGTTTTCGAAAAAATAAGGTGAATGTCAACGGTTCTTTTTTCCCCTCATGTCCATCGCTACTAAATCTCACAGACACTAACCACACTCATACTCAATAAAATCAAAATTAACGCTGAAGGAATCAAGCATCTGGTTGATTTTCTCCGAAACACGACGGTAAATCTCAATCTGTCTTTAGCTTTCTCGTCTGCATCTTAATTGTCGTATGCAGGCAGTCACCGAGCTCAACATCGCTAACAATCACATCGATATCGAGGGAATCCAACATCTGGTTTTTGGTTTTCAAGAGAACAACGTGAATTTTAATCTCTCTCTCTCTACCTTGTCGGTATCTTTACTTTCTTACACAGATACTCAGGAAACTCGACCTCGCTAACAATGAAATCGGTGATGAAGGAATGCAATACCTCGCTAAGGCACTCGAAAATAACAAGGTAGGTTTCAGTCTGTTTCTGTCACTTCCTGTTACACCATCAGTCTCTCACACAGACACTCATCGAACTTGACCTGACCGCCAATGAGATCGGTGACGAAGGGATCCAGTGTTTGGCTAATGCTTTGCGTAATAATACGGTGAACTGGATTTCATCTTAATCTATTTTGTCTTCATCATAATGTCTATATGTAGGCACTCATCAAACTCAAACTGGTTAGCAATGAAATCGGCGCCGAAGGAGCTCAACATCTCGGAAAAGCACTCGAAAATAACAACGTAAGTTTCAATATTTCTGTATTTTTTAATCATATCATCACTTTTCACACAGACACTCGCCGAACTCGATCTCACTGTTAATAAGATCGGTGACGAAGGGGTCCAATATTTGGCTAATGCTTTCAAAAATAATAACGTAAATTTCAGCCTCTTTCTCTATTTGTTGTTTGGAAAATCGCTATTTCTTACAGAAATTAACCACACTCAGCCTCACTGCCAATGAAATCAAAGACCAAGGCGCTGAATATCTGGCGTCTGCTTTCGAAAAGAACAACGTGACTATCTTTCTCTCTTTAATTATCTCATTTTCAACTTCGTTTTTTTACATCCAGACACTCACTACACTAGTTCTCTATAACAATTACATTGCTGACGAAGGAGCCCAACATCTAGCTGATGCCTTCCGGAACAACAACGTGAATCTTCTTGTTACACTCTCTCTTTTTATTACAACTTCACTACTTTTCATAGACTCTCGCCAACCTTGATCTCTATGGGAATGAGATCGGAGATCAAGGAGCGCAACATCTAGCTGATGCATTTCGAAATAATACAGTGAATATTATTCTCTTTTTTTCTGCTTCTGTATCTATCTTCAGCTTCTTTCATAGACACTCACCACCCTCGATCTTAGACAGAATAACATCGGACAGCAAGGACTGCAGTATTTGACTGTTGCTTTTCAAAATAACACAGTGAAGTTCAATTTTTCCGAATCTTTCTGAATTGTTGTATCTTGACTTATTTGTACAGACGCTCAATCAGCTATATCTTGAAGACAACGAAACTTCAGACGAAGAGCAGCACCGCGAAACTGATGTTCCATCAAGTGGCAAGGTGAATTTCAATCAGCCTTTTTTTCGTAAGTTTTCAGTTTCAATATCTCCAACAGACACTCATTACATTCGACTTGAAAGACGAAGAAAAAGGCGCCGAAAGGGCTCATTATCTTGCGGATATATTTGCGAACAACGAGGTGAATTGCATTCTGAGTTTAACTTTCAGATCCATATCATCTGTTTCATACACAGACGCTCAATACATTGAACCTCGAAAATGATAATATTGGTTCGCAAGGAACCCAACATCTGGCTAATGCTTTTCAAAATAATAAAGTGAGTTTCAATCTATATTAGCTATTTATATCCATCTTATTTTCTGATGCAGACACTCACCACACTGAACCTCGCTAGCAATGCAATTGGCGATGAAGGTGTTCAACATCTGACTAAGATTCTCGAAAATAACAACGTAATTCTCAGTGTCCCATGATCATTCTTTTTCGCATCATCAATATTTCACACAGACACTCACCACACTCAATCTCGCTAAAAATGGAATCGATGCTAAAGGAGCTGAGCACCTAGCTAAGGCTTTAGAAGGTAATAAGGTAAGTCTAAGTCTTTTTCTAACTCTCTTGTTACATCATCATTATCTCACCCAGACATTAATCACACTCAATCTCTCCAGCAATGAAATCGGTACCGAAGGAGCACAACATCTGGCTAAGGCACTTGAAAATAACAACGTAAGTCTCAGTCCTTTTTTTTTGTATCTTTTGTTTACACCATTACTATCTCACACAGACACTTACCGAACTCGACCTGGCTAACAATAACATCTACAACGAAGGAACTCAACACCTGGCAAAGGCTTTGGAAACTAACAACGTAAATCTCATTCTCTTTATGATTTACATTACAGCTTTTTCATACAGACATTAACTGCACTTAATCTTGCTAGAAATGAAATCGGTGCCGAAGGAATTGAACAGCTCACTAGTTTCCTCCGAAATAACACGGTGAATCTTAGTCTCTATTTAGTTTCTACATTTACATCTTAACTATATTGTACAGACACTTGTCACACTCAACCTTAAGCACAATAAACTCGAGGTTGATGGTGTCAAACATTTGGCTGTTGGTTTGGAAAATAACAATGTGAGTCTCAGTCTTCTTGATCCAACTTATTTGTATTTGAACTCTTTGACACAGACACTGATCACACTAGATTTGGTCTCCAATACGATAGATGACGAGGCAACTCTGCACCTAGCTGCTGCTTTACTAAATAACAACGTAATCTCAGTTTCTGCTTATCTCTCGTAATCACATACTCACTTTCTCACACAGACGTTGGTCACACTCTTGCTCCGTTACAATAAGATTGGAGACAAAGGAGCCGAATACCTGGCTATTGCTTTCCGAAATAATACAGTAAATCTGAATCTCTCGTTTTTCTCTGGTTTGTATTTCGATTTTTTCCACAGACACTCCACAAGCTCGATCTTACTCGCAATCAAATCGGGGATCAAGGCGCACAAGATCTGGCTACTGCTTTTCGAGATAACAAGGTGAATTTTGATTTTTTTCTTTCTCATTTGTACCTTGGCTTTCTCGTGTAGACGCTCGCTTATCTAGGTCTCGATGGCAACAAAATCAAACAGCAAGGGGCTCAACATTTGGCTGCTGCTTTTGAAAATAATAAAGTGAATATACCTTTTTATCTATTTCACTCTTTTACATCCTGAGTTTCTAACATAGACACTGACATTCCTTGATCTCGCTGGGAATGAAATTGGAGATCAAGGTGCGCAAGATCTGGCTGCTGCTTTTCGAAATAACACAGTGAGTTTCCTTCTCGTTTTATCTTTCGTATTTACATGTCGACTTTTTTCCATAGACACTCACCACCCTTGACCTGCGACGTAATGAAATAGGAAAGGTATCCAAGCATCATGTCATGCAAACTTTGCGGGAAAATACTACATTGAAGTTATTTTTATGGGATGACGTTGAAGATCTTGACTGACTTATACCGAGTGAATTTTCATCGGAAGTTGTGTTTTGAAGTGAATTTTTAAATATAGTGAAACGATTTCTTTTAATTCATACTTCAGATAACGTAATCCACCTCTTCTTAATAAAATATCATATTTTAAAACCACGAAATCAAAGTACTGATATAGTTCGAATGGGCGGCAAGATTATCACACTCTAAAAAAATAGGTATTCTACCAAACCTAAAAAGAATCTTCCGCCGGGAACACGGAACGATCCTTTTTTAGGTTTGGTATCGCATCGTTTCGGAAAAGGATAAAAAAGTTTCGTATCGAAGGTTTCGGACTACACCTAAGAAGACTAAAATTCGGAATAACGCATTTAAACACTCAGTCGGTAACCGTGACTGCGAGTCATTAATGCTCATTATAATGACGCACGAGATGTGTCCTTTGTGCAAAATTTTCATTTCGGAGTGCGCAAACGGCTGAAACCTTTAGTTTTTAGTGCGAAAGCACGCTGTTATTCTTGAATTTCAAGAACAGCTCGTTTTGGCACTAAAGACTGAAAATTTCGACAGCTTTCAAACTCTGAAATGAAAATTTTGCACAAAGGGCACCTCTCGTGCGTCATTATAATGAGCCTGAATGACTCGCAGTCGTGGTTCCTGATTGAGTTTTTAAACACGCTATTACAAATTTTTGTCTACTTGGCCACTATCTCGATCAAAATAGCATTAAAACATTACTCACTAAGTTCACTACCAAAAATATGCCGGTTCGTTGTTTTTCATTTTCCAACTAGTTGCAATTTCCAAACACAAGAAGCATATTTCGCTTTCAATATCCATTCAGTCTAAAACAGAGGAATAAACGAATTGATCGTGAGCGAAAATTTTCAGCTTACTTTTTGTTTGAAATTCCCAGCCAACCACCAAGTATGATTGAACTGATTTAATAATCAGAGATTTACCACAACGCTATTTATTTACGATTTCTCTGTATCCGTACAATAACCCTCAGAGATCAATGGCATAATCATGAATATCACGTAAGGCAGAAAAAAAGGAATTAGTGCATATTCTAGCTTTAATTATTAACTATAATCATACCTGAAAATTATCGTGATGAACTAGACTAAAGATAATGGAACTCGGCCTATACATGGTGTTTGATATTATAAAATTAATCATACCTGTGACTCATGGTGATAGATTCAATTTAAGATAGAGAAAGCAATTCATGTACAGCTCTTGAATATTACTACAGAAAACAGTACCAGAGAATGATGATGATGAACTTGACTTGAGAAAGAAAAAGATAGATTAAGTCGCGCTGTTTAATCTTATTACAATGGCGATACCTGAGAAGTATGATGTTCAATTCAATCTAGGATAGAAAAAGAAATTTATTAGTGTTGCTCGATTTTATTGAAATGGTTTATACCTGTGATTTCTGATGATGAACTTCATCTACGAAGGGAGATCGAAATTAAGAAATAGTAAATTTTATTCAAGTACCCCACTAATGAGAAAAATATGATCCAATTAAATATAAGTTTTTAAAAAGAAAAATTATTACCGTTATTCATTTTCATGGTAACAATTGTAACTGTGATCTATGATGATGAACTTGACATGATATAGAGAAAGTAAATTCATTCTAATTGTTGTGTTTCTTCCTGATAGCTGAGCCTGTGATTTTTGATGGCGAATTCAATCTTAAATAGAAAAATGAATTTATTATCGTTATTTGATTTGAATGTAATGGTAGTACCTGAAAATAATGTTGATAAACTTGAATGATAGGAAAACGAATTATATTCATTCTTCTTGAATTTTATGAAAAAACCATACCTGAAAATGATTGTGATCAGCTTGTTCTAAGACAAAAAAGTACACCATTCTTTTTGAATAATATTCCAGTAATAGAAATAGAAAATGATGATGATGAATGTAATCTGGGACAAAAAGAAATAATTCATTCATTCATTCATTCATTGTTTTTGAATATTATGAAATAAGTATACCTGACAATTGGAGACAATGAATTTGACTGAAGATACAAAATACATTAATTCACGTCGTTTAATTTGATTATAATGATCATAGATGCGATCTGTGATGAATAGTTTCAAGTGAGGTAACAGAAAAGAAATTCATTCATGTTCTTCAAATTCATAGAACGATTCTAATTTCTTGAAAAAGCGTTATTCTAGAAGATAGAAATGATAAATTAGATTTTCTAGTTAGAAAATCGAAAGTGAATTTGTATTGGCTTTTCTAGAAAGTTGCATTTAATTTTGGAATTAGAGAATTTTCTAGAAATTTGAGATCCCATTTTCATTTTTATAATGAACGTTAAATACAACAAATAAATACCGAGTAAAATATTCCATACAACATCATAAATAAGAAAAATATGAGAATTTGAATATAAGTTAAAACATATAGCTACTAAAAAAATACTCCTTCAGGGAGCAATGAAGCGAAAACATTTCTAAGAAAGTAATTTAACAATTCAAAAATCTTTGAACCAGAAAAACGACTCAAAATGTAATACTCAAGTTTAAACATAAAAATTCTATGTAACAGTTAAAATGCAGTTTCAAAAAGATGAAAGGTTAAAATATCGATTTTATACTCAGAAAATTCTATTTCTAATAATCTGGTGAATCATAAAAAATAAATCACTATTATGTGCTTGTTCATTCAAAATGAACCAACTCATGCGGTCTCTGAAAATAATTTATCTATCAACTAGTTACAATTGCCGGATGAAATAATGAATACACAACACTGTCGACTGGCTTATATACGTACATGGCCAAACAATGACTCTATTGTTGTCATTGTTCGAATGAATATTCAAAAATCAGTAACTGATTTCTAAAATTTTGTAGAATCTAAATTGATTTTCTAGAAAATTAGATTGAAATGCTACTTTCTGGATCATCAAACATTTTCTGAGCATTCAAAATTCGACGAATGAATCATGAAATTTTTAAAATGTTTTAGCTTATTTAAGGTCGACTTTCTACGAAATAGAATTTAAATAAAATTTACAATGTAGCATAAATTCTTGAAAATCCAGTGAATTGGCTATGAAAAATGGCACTCTTTTTTATATTTCATCTGAGTATCAACAAGGGATATGAGATTTTTACTGTCGATGTCTGAGCGACAAAAAGGTCTATTCGGTATCTTGACTGAATCACTACTTTTATTTTTCAAAATTAGTTTTGCTGGTTTTTCAACCGGCTCTAAAAATAAATATTTTTTATTGGGCCATTTACTAAAGTTGAAGCTAAAGCATTTTTTATGGATAAGAGGCATAGGAAACTATGTACACAAATACAAGCCGCTTATGGTTTTGTACGAAGTACATGGAACCTAGCAGCGCTTTAAGAAAAAATGTAACGTGATTTTAGGAAAATTTTAAAGCCACCAGAAAGTGTACAGAACTACAATTCGTTTCATATAGTTTGTGCGAAACCATCAACGATCCCTATAAAAATGAAATTTTTCGTGGAAAATATACGAAACCATAAGATCAATAATATGAAGACGAAAATTTCAGTACAAACAATTCTAAACCTTCGAATACTGTAGGAAACCTCTCATTGTTCAGAATAGGAAGGACGAAACCTTCGATACGAAATCGGAACCATCAGTCATTTGGTCGCGATATACTATGAAACTATATTTAATTTTGAGAAACAAACAGTGGATTAGCACTTCCAGTGTGAAACTGTGAACCCGTTTGCGGAACTAACAGAAAGTTCGGTTGAAAAATTCTGAAACCCTATCTTTGCTTCTGAACTTAGAAAAGTTTTGTATAATGACTACGAAACGATTTCCACTTTACCGAATCTAAAACCGTTTAGATCAAATGTACTAAACCACTGAACTTCGGTATTAAACCTATTTTTTTAAGAGTGTACAGGCCACGATGCAAACAGAATAGATCTTCCATCAAAATTAAACGTACTTCTTTCGAAGTCGATAATAATGTATTTCTTTTTGGCTGTAATTGAAAGAGAACTTCGTATAATGAAATATTCTTTATTATTGCTTAGAATTCTAGGAGTTGTTTAATGATTTATTTTATTTTTTACATAAAATTTACGTTTTATATAATTACGTAGCATTAGATTCTGAAGATGCCTGATGAGATCCTTAAGCAAGATCGAAACGTCGTATATACTGCTTTGAATCTATATTCGTTTGAGTGTTTAACACACCCACACACTCAAATTTGTAGGGCACGGAGCTCTCACTCAGTCCTGCCCTGCGGGCACCTCTAGCTGGTATATCAATAGGAATTAACGATACTGTTTATAAGTCTGTTTCTGATACAGATGAGACATTGAAGTTAGGTTATAGACTGGATGATATTATGCAGGTATATCAGACTCGTTTATCAAATTCTTTCAAAAAATCATCTATTCTATTTTACACTTATACACGAACTTTATCCTAAGAAGCAAAACATATAGATGAAGGGCGATGCGAATTATTCAAATACTGTTTTCACAATATACTGTATACGCAAAAAATTAAAGAAAATGAAACTTTAGTATGAGTAGAACCTGACGGCATTGTGCATATGAGTATATATGGTTGCGAGAGTGAATTTTTTCTTCACTTACAGCCAGATTTATACATGCTTTCCCAACTAATTACACTAATGTCTAATAAATCGAGTATTTCTATGAGTAATTCAACTCATCAGGATTTGGTGGAAAATTCCTTGAGGATTAGTCATCAGAAATGAATTTCATAATGGAAAAACAATTCGATAATTCCATGAGAATATTTAAAAATACTGCTATACCCAACGGTTCTCACTAGACTGCATCACTAAAGGTAATAACTATAAAGTCATCAGTCTATGTTTCGAATTACTCGGTAATGCATCGAGGCGTTGCTAGGATATCGTTTTGTGCCGTATTTATGACTATTTTTTCTTTTCAACGCGGTATTTGGTCAACAACCTGAAACGCAAAAATTTTTGACAATAAAATCATCTAAACAACAGAACGACAACGCATTGTTCTCTACAGATGAAATGAGTTTCCCAAGTAGTGTTTCAATTAGATGTAGGCGAAATTTAGAATCGACCATTTTAATTTGGTTAACAATGAAACCGAACGAAATTCAATTCAATCAACTTCGAAATATTATCGATTATGTTCAAGTTTTTGATAACATTGATATCTGCAATAAATATATTGAACAAATTACAGATGATCATCAAATCTATATTGTTACCAACATTCAATATAATTCAAATAAAGCACAAATGTATACTTATGAAAATAATTTTAATGAAATTATTGACTCGATCGATACTGATCATAACACTCGAATAAATCCATTGAGTATTAATATATTCAAACAGTCGACACATTCACAATTAAATAGTGAATTTTTATGGTTTCAACGTATTCTTGCTGTGCTATTAGATAATGATGATCGTGAAAAAGCAAAAAAGAATTTTATTGATTCGTATAAAAAATATTTTGAAGGTAATCAACGAAAAGAAGAAAAAATTCAATTATTTGAAAATACTTATCGATCTGAAAATGCACTTCAATGGTATAGTCGAGAATGTTTCTTTTATGATATATTAAATAAAGCCTTAAGAACTCAAGATATCGATGTTTTATATTCACTTCGATTCTTTTTAAAAGATATGTATGAACAACTAAAAATCGAATATAATAAAACATGTCATGAAGTCGACTTATTTACTTATCGTGGTCAAATTATTTCATTGATCGAATTAGAAAATATCAAACAAAATATTGGTCAATTAATATCATTAAATAGTTTTATATCAACAACTATAAATGAACAAATAGCAGAAGCTTTTAGTTCAAGTGGAAATATATTCGAAGGAGAACAGGTATTATTTCATATAAAAGTGAACAAAAATCGAACCAATTCAAAACCATTTGCTGATATTTCTCATCTAAGCCAATTCATAGATGAAAAAGAAATTTTATTCATGGCTGGATCGATATTTGAAATAAAAGCTGTTACTTTTTCTGATTCTATTCACATGTGGACAATTGAACTTGAATTGTGTGATGATGATGTTTATGAATTGAATTCTGTTTATCAATCGGAGAGAAATATAGTGTTTGATCAACATTCACCATTTTCTTTAGCAGCTGTATTACTTCGAATGAATCTATTTGATAAAGCTAAAATATATTATCAACGATTGTTGGATGAAGGATCAATAAATGAAAGTTCATCTATCGATCTTATTGTTAATTGTTATTGGGGTTTAGGTAATGTCAATCGAAAACAAGGAGAATATGATATTTCATTAGCTTATTACTGTTTAGCAATTCAACTATGTTCAGATCGATTCGATCTTTTAATTCGTAGCTATAAATATATGAGTCTAGTATATCTAGACATTCATTCCATTTCAGAGGCTTTAGAATATCAAACAAAAGCATTAGAAATTCAAAAGAAAAAAAATGATGCTCAAGACCAAATAGCAGATACTTTATATAATCTTGGTCTTATACATTTTGGTCAACTTGAAGCCAACTTTAGTCAAATTTTAGATTATCTTTTACAAGCATTAAATATTTATAAAGAACTACATATGAATGAAGATATAATTCGATGCTATGACTCACTGGGAGAAGTTTATTTAAGACAGAAAAAAAAAGATATTGCTTTAAAGTATCATTTCGAGGCACTGAAAATGATTGATGAACATTATCCAACATATCTTTCGCATCGTATTAATGCCTATGAATTGATCGGAAAAACATATGATTCAATGCGTAATTATGAACAAGCTTTGAAGTATTATAATGATGCATTAAATGCAAAACTTAAATATGAACCGTTAAATGATCCGAATGTTGCCGATAGTTATGAACTTATAGGTGGAGTTTTTCATAAGAAAGGAGACTATATAAAAGCAATTGAAATGTATGATAAGAGTATTGAAATTCGACGATTTAGACAATTAGAATCTCATCCAGATGTTCAGTCAATTATGTCATTAAGAAATTGTCTAAAAAAAACTGTTGAGTAAGTTAAATTTAGGATTATCGAAAAATAAAAACCATTGTTTGTTTATAATCTTCTAGAGATTATCCTGGAGTAATATTTAACTGTGATTCATCGAGCGAAGAGGAGAATTAATTTTTAAATCTTCTCAATTCTTGAAAAAACCACAAGCTGCAATTTCTGTCGATACTTTTTTCATTTTTTTATTCGAAATTTCAACTTAATTTTTGATATTTTTTGTTTCATGCAAGCCGTTCGCAAAAACGTCACTTACAGATTTCTGTGTTTTGTTCTATTGAAAGATTGTTTTAGTAATGGGGCGGGTGAGACGAATATCAATGAAGAGAAGAGTTATAATCATGGAGCCTATTCATATCCGACACACTCTCAAGAAATATCCTTCATCTATTTAAAACAAACGAGAATGAAAAATAAAAGCACACAAACAAATGCGTCAAGTCACTGCTTTATTATTATTATTATTTCTGTTCTATGATTAGTAGGAATAGGAATAAACCAAACAGCAATGACATTGATATTTGTTCGGTTTTATTGAATATTTATACTTCAACAATCTACAAATTAAACTATGCCATTTTTCTGTCAAAAAAAGTAATTATAATTGAGTATAAATCTATCCACCGTACATTAGTACAGCAGCAATACGTTCAACAAAACCAGACGAAGGCGCACTGAAGACACAATCGATTCGATGCGTCTCAAAAAATCTTCGTCGCATAATTCAAGATCAACTGTTAATATCCATTTTGAACCATCAATTTTTGCTCCTGATTTCGATATTGATATGTTTAATATTAAATTCCAACTATTATGTCTCAATTATAAATGAAATCTATCAGAACTGTGCAAGAATTCTAATAACAAAGGCTTACGCAACATACTTGATGAAATTGTGAAAAACGTATCATGTACTAAAGCATGGTGGTCTTTGTTGAATACAGAAGATGGCACAAGAAGGAATGAAAAAGAAACTGTGAGTGATGATGCATGTGAACGCCTATTCAGTAAGTTGAGATTTCATTTTCTAAAACATGATTGTAGTATGAACGTTGACATATACGTATAGAAACGTAAACTTCATCAAACTCTACAGATCGTACACTCTAAAAAAAGACATTTTTTAAAGAGTGAAACAAGAAGCAAAACTACAACAAATAACATTGTCATATCAACTCCAACAATACCAGCCTAGCATTCAACCGAAACATCACTACACTCAAACAATTCTCTTTCTGTTAATGGGGTCACCAAAAACATTTCTCCAAATATGAATTCAGGCTCTCTCGATGCACACAATAACTTTCTCAGTATCTTCTTTACACACAGCATATAAAGAATTATCAGCAATCTGAAGGGTATTTCATTCGACAGGTAAACCAGCATGGTTGCCTTCCAACACATACTGCATACATTGATACATTACACGAACTAAAATGTCCTTCGTCAAAACCAACAAAGAAAACCGGATAAGAAACTTCCTATTGATTCTTTACAGAACAATTGTTCGTAATCGTGATAAGATACAGATTAAGTAATTGATTTGTGAGCGTCAGATCATTTAAATAATTATGGATTCAAAGCTACCGGATGATATCCTTAAGCAAGATCCAAACATGTCGTAGTTTGCTTTAAAACACTATCACAGCCCTTCGGGCTTCCTCACTCTTTTCTTGCTATTCTATTTTTAAATGAAGAAACAAAAATTGTGTCTATCTCAATATGCACATCGCATAGTGTGGGTGCTTGTGAAAGGAGTTAAACCCTTGAATTCTCCGATTAAACACTCTTGTTCGTTGTTTTCTTCAAAATTATTCATGTCTTGAGAAAAAAATCTTGAAATTCTGTGAATTTTTATCTCTCTACCTCTCAATATACATAGCACATGGGTGTCTGGGAAGAGAGTTAAAGTCTGAGAAGCATGATAAAAGTCCTCGGACTATATTAAGCCAGGACGAAACGTCGTAAAGTAGCTTGGAATAAACTTATTTGGCGCACACCCACAGCCACATCCTCTAGCTTACCGATATCTATTGTTACATTGAGTTCCTTTTGGAATTTCTCGTAAATATGTACGCTATGCAACTTATTTGTGATTTTCGGATCATTCGAATAGATACAAAGTCAAAACTGCCTGATGAGACCCTTTAGCAAGGTCGAAATGCGTCGTAGTTGCTTCACTCCCCCTAAACTATATGGTTACAGAAGTAGTAAACAAAATGTCTATATCTTCACAACCTGTGTTGAAATTGCTGTATATTATGAAATCAATCAACAATTTTAAGGAAGTATGACCAGCTCTGCATACTTATTTAACAATGAATCAGCTTTCACCCCATTCGCACCTTCACGTTCCACTGACATTATAACAAAAACATCTCCAGAACTCTTCTCCTGTATCAACATGATGTATCCGGGTGGATAAGTAGTACCGCCACCGGCCGTTGCATAAAAAGGTTTCCCCCAACCAAAATCTAGTTTTGGCCCTTGTAAATCAAATCGACACCAATTGGTCATTATTACATCTGCTGTCCAATCAATACAACCAGGAGGTTTGGTGTTTTGGGAAGCTTCCATAAACGAAATCTTGTGGGCAATGGCTTCCGGTGAAAGTTGAAGATTCACGGCGTTTCTAACCGCCAGAGCGACACGAGAAGCCGACTCACAAGTGAGAGATAATAAATCGGAGCGAGAAATAGCGGCATTGAAAAGGGGATTGAAGTTTCCAAAGTATCGTCCATCAGACATATTTCCTTGAGGAGCTCTGTCTCGACCATCAGCAGCCATCGCAAATGTTTCGATTTGTGACTCCAAACTAGATCTTCCTTGCAATCTTGCCACATTTGCATTTTCACGGGCACGTGTAATGACACCGCCAAGAAGAGCAGCAAGTGCATCACCCGATGAAATCCACAAATTAGACGCATGTTCTGTGGGCGAAGAAGAAGGCGAGAAATCATTCTTTAATCGTTCAAGAGCACTTTTGGTAAGTTTCCAGCTTGTAACATCATTTGGTGCCAATAAAAATGGCGGTGGCCCGGTTGGTGGAGCAGCAACTATCATGAATCCTGGAGGTGGCGTTGGTACTGTTGATTTTTGGATCAGACCAGAAAAAAATCGACCGGGAGTGTGAGACCAATCCTCTGGAATTTTCGTAAAGTCGATGGTTTCGGCTCGAGCGAGTTGAGCCCAGACTTCAAGAAAATCAAGGAAGCCACGAAGATCAGTGACTTGGTGGTGAATGGAAGTGGCTACGGCGATCGTTCCGCAGGAAAACTATTTTGACAAAAAAAAACCCATACCCAAGGTCAAGTGGCGATGATAATATAAACAAGCATTCTACAGTACCTGAGTTACTTTCACTGCTAATGTGCTCGATGATGGAGGTAGCAACATGACAAGTCGAGGAGATAGATCTTCAGTATCGCCAGCATACGGCGTGTCTTTCATTTCGACCAGGAATGGCGTACCCAAACTATTTTCGGCATTCATATCGATGTAAAGCTCACCCTTTTCATTGGTTCGCACAGTTCCTGCTACTGGTGGATACAATTCAAGCGCTTCGGCGAGAGAAGATTTCAGTTTATCGATTACGTCTGTGGTAGTGCCCATCAGTTCAAATGGTGGGCGGTGGAAGAACCGGTGATTATGAATGTCCATGGGAGAACCGATTAGATCCATACCATGAAGTGTTATTGTCGATGGTGGAGGTGGGCGATTGAATTTGTTGGTGGTAGGGTAGATTGTGTAAGTTTCGACAGAATTTTGAGTTACGGTCATTTTTTGTGCCATTGTGGATCAAAAAGTAGGTGAAGAAAGCCAATAAATATTATTTTTATTTCCGACCGAAGCGAAGCATATGTGGACTATTCTTTTGTTTTTGCATTTTCCTGTGGCAATAGCGCTACATTACGTCATCGTTAAGTCACAAAATAGAAAGTAGACCAGTGCAGCAGGATAAGATACGGCAGGAAAAAAGTCCCTACTTTCTGGAGATATACCAGCCACAAATGTAAAAGTGTTTTAGAGTTACTCGGTGATAAGGACAGACGTGTGGGTGTGCGTAGAGTAAAGGACATGTAATACGCCCCACCCCCACCCACACCCTGAATCAGAATATGTATAACTATACATCGTTCACTCAAATCTGACAAAATAAGAATCGAAAAAAGAATTGACCATTGGGTGAGGAGTGTGGGCGTGTTACATGTTCTTTATTCTACCCACACCCACACCCAAAAAATGCCATATGTCTTACAACACATTTCAACCGTCTATTTTTCTTTATATTTACTTACGCATCTAAAATCGGTTATTCGTTGACACGTGGCGCGTCTTAGTTTTAGTCATATGATATATTTCAATAAGATGCATTACGTGTCAACTGATAACCGATTTTAGGCGCGTAAGCAAAAAAAAGAGAAATAGACAATTGAAATGTCTTGTCAGGCACATGGTATCACTGTACAAAATGCCATGTGTCTAACAAGACGTTTCATCCGTCTTAAGTCTAGTTTAGACGCGTGAACTGTCTCATTTTCAGACACTTAAACGAATAGACACACGTGTGTCTTAATGTGTTTTGACGAATCATCTGTCTAGATCTACTTGACTACGACTAAATGTATCTGTAGATGTGAAAACAGAATGAATTCTCTTTTTTTTATAAGTTTAATTATTAAATAATCATTTTTTTGCTTATCAGACTTTGACGTTTATAAATTAAATCCAACAGCGCCCTCTTTTGTTTTTCTTTGCGTTGTAGGTACGACATTAACCGTTGGTCATTAAAGACGATTGAAATCATAATGATTTTCAAGTAGCTTTGTGTTTTTTGGTTTTCATTTAATTAGTGTTTTGGAATTTTCGATCCTTTATTCGATCATCTTCAGCTTATCAATAAACTTTGACAGATTTTAACAGTCTCATGAAATTTGAACATTAGTTAGTAGCATACTGAATTCATCATTTCTTTGTAAAATTAGTTATTTGTAAACGTTGTCAAGT